GGTAGGCAAGAGTGGGAGAAAGGCAAATGGTGGGTGATGAAAAGGTCCTAAATTCGTTTATTTGTTCATTCATTCAAAGCAGGGCTTCCAAGGCAAGTTACAATAAATAAAAACATTTAAAACATTAAATACACAAATTCTAGAAACCAAACACAAAATGGCTACCCTGATAGTTCAAATCAGACTCCTGTCTGAAATATAGCTCCCACTTTCACTTTTTTTGCTTCTTGACACTGCTGTTCTTTTAAGATCACCTCTTTATACTGAAGTGGCAGTAGAAGCCACATCTGGCAGAATACTCCATCTATGCAACTACAAGTCTCCTTGTCTTTCACCACTCACTTCCCAGCCAGCTCGACTGAACTAGTTCTCATTCAAGCAGTCACATGAAGCTTTAACCAAGAACTTATCATTCCTAAAAGAAGCTGGTCATGAGGTATTCTAATAGCTTTATTCCCTGAACAGTAAGAATACAAATACAGTAAGAATGTTCATGAACATTCCATGACATCACAGCAGCTTAACAAAACAGTCTTAGGGTCCTTAGTCCTGCACTTGCAATACAGTTTCAGGAGTACTGATCAATTGGATTAATTTTTGCAAACATGTTAAGGAAGTGCCACCTATCAGAAATAGGTACTAGAAGAGACATTAAAGTCTGAGAATAAGGTCTTTCATAGAATCACAGAATCTTAGATTTGGAAGGGGTCAAAAGAGCTGTCTAGTCTAACCTTTTGCTGTACAAGAATACACAGCTGAAGCACTCCTGAGAGATGGCCATCCAATTTCTGCTCAAAGACCTCCAAAGGTGAGTCCACCATCCTCCAAGGTAGTCTGTTCCACTACAGAACAGTTCTTACTTTGATGGAGAGGAGGACTGCACAGCACACATCTTTCACAGTTGTACAGAAGAAAGAAATTCAGTCAGGTGTAAATCTTCTTATGGGAAGAATGTTTCTGAATAAAAAGTGCACCTTCCAAACTCCTTCCTTCCAACTCCACTGCTAAATATTTGCAGTGAAGAAACATGCAGAACACATTTTCCAAGACACTGAACATTAAAAAACCAAGCCCTATGAGGATCAGTATAAACAGCTGGGTATGTTTAACCTGAAGAAGAGAAAACTGAAAAGTGACATGATAGCCATCTTTAAATATCTGAAGGGAAGGTCTTGTAGAAGACAGGGCAAGTTTTCTGCTACTCTAGACATGAACCAAAGAATTCAAATTATGATAATAATGATTCCATCTAAACATTAGGAAGTACTTCCAAAAGGTAAAAGCTGTTCAACATTGGAAGAGATTGCCTCAGAGGGTGGTGGATTCTCCTTTTCTGGAGTTTTTAAATAGACGTTTGATGACCATATCTCAAGAGGGCTTTAATCGTGCATCCCTGCATGGTAGAGGCTAGACTAGAGAGCTCACGTGGCCCCTTCCAACTGTATGTTTTGGTGCTTCACATTCCCTCTGTGTTGAGAATGTGTTGGGAATATATGGGGGAAAAGGAACAGATATTTTCCCCTGTGGAGGTTGGACCTTGTCCACTAGCCATGTTGGTCATTTATGTAACGGGGTGGGGGGGGGAGAGATGAATGTAGTACCTGTATCTGAACAGATGCTTCTTGGCTTAGGTTGCCAAGCTGTGCAGTGTACATTTTCAGCTCCTCAACGGTTGGAGTTTTCACACTTGATGTGGCACCCTTGGGCAGAATATTTATTTTGGTAGAGATCTAACATTTGGAAAAGCAAAACATGTTTAGACAAGTGCTCCAGAT